CTCCATGTCCACGCCCAGGACGGCAGCATGGTGGGGAAGGGCGGGCGCTCCGCCCGCTGCAGCAGCCGAGCCTCCATGTCCACGCCCAGGACGGCGGCATGCTGGGGGTGATGCAGAGCGGGCGCTCCGCCCGCTGCAGCAGCCGAGCCCGGCCGAGCCTCCATGTGCACGCCCAGGACGGCGCAACGTAGAGCAGGGCGGGCGCGCGGTGCAGCAGTTAGGCCCCCACGTCTAGGATCGCCCCCGGCCCCGGCCTCTGGCCCAATCCTCCAGTGGTGCTAAACGAGCCCCCCCCTCATACTGCTCATGGCCTACCCGGACCTGGAACAAGCTGTCCGTAGCTATGTCGGCGTCGTGCCCCGGCCTCCAGCTGACCCAGGTCGGCACGACCTGGAACTCGGTCCTGGCCCTCCTGCTGCCCCCGTCGGTGGTCGAGCCGACCTCTCTGCTCGTGGTTCTGTATGGTCCAGGCCGGCCCCGGTAATTGAGGTTTGTATGGATATGGTGAATCTATTTGTTTTTTGATCGCAGTAATTTTATTCTATGGTTTTTTCCTTTTACAGGAAGCGGGAGATAATTAAGGAGGATTTTCTCCAAAAATGTAAAAAGGTATGTGCTGAAGCACCTTCTGATGATCAGCCTAAAGCATTAGAAAAATTATGTGCAGAAGTTTTGTCGAGAGACAACGCATACATCAAAACATTACTTTCTTAATACCTCTTCTGCCTATTGCTTTGTGTACATGTACCCCTCCTATATGATCTCAGGAAAAGTTATCTCATGCTCTGTACTGAAAGAACTGTCTTCAGTCCTTTTTTAGTCTTTCATTTTTACTGATAATTTGCTTGTGATCCATCTTAATGTAATTTACTTATTTTTCATTTTACTTTTGATTTCTTTTTGATGACCTTACATCTTCAACTACACATCCACAATCTCAGTTAAGTCTTAAGCATGAGCTATGGGCTAGGCCTGTGCGATTCATTGGTTGAATTATCAATTAATTTTAATAATTGGCATTGATTATTTAGATAGCAATTATAGTTGTTGTAATTGATAATCAACAACACCTCATTACACAGCGCTGGTCATAGTACATGAGCTTTTACCTTTGCTTTAGACTTTCAAGAGATTGTTGATAGCTTCATGAAAATAGATTCAAATTAGGGAATACTGTAATTTGTTAATAAAGTTAATATGAAATTAAAATTTTAATAATTTTAAAATATGTACAAACTAGTAACATTTTATGACAAGTAAACTCTGACAGTAGCTGAAAAGGGCTCCCGACATACTGCACATGTCTTGAGTGATGGAACACAGTTAACACAACTCACTAAATGTCCACAAGGCAGAAACGCGACACCAATCTCTTCAGAGAAACATAATTTACAAGCCCTAGCATCGTCTATTGATTTGGTTGATTTGTTAGTTGTTTCAGACACCGGTTGTGGTTCGTTGGCTTTATGTGAAACAGAGCTGCTTGAGCTAGCCTCTGATGTCACATCTGGCGAAGGGTGTTGTTGCACCACATTCAAATACTCCTTGGGTATCGCTAGAGCTCGAATTTCCTGATAATCATAAGAAATTCCAGTTATTAGTAATTTGGTAAATACATATGAGAATTATACACTTGTTTCTATTAACACCGTCATATCACTCAAACTACTTATGTCTGTATACTGTCCCTTAAGTTGAGGCTCGGCTCCTGGGCCCCTTTAACTTAAATATGTAA